CTAATTACATTGCTGTATTTTAATCATAAAGTATATCCTTAAAATACACTTCAGACTCCTTTTGAATATATGGAAGACTTTAAATTAATCCAATAATTTCACTCCAATGAAATATGAAATGTTTGTTCTAACATATTACGCAAATCCTGCCTTTCCCATATGTAAATATTGACTTCTCTTTAAGGGGTCAAGAAGAGTGCATCATCCTTAGTGCAGAGAAGGATTTCAATAAGGACCGGAGCAATAAAAAAAGAACAAGTCATGATGTGTTTCCTTTCAAGCTTCCTCTGTAAAATGGAAGCATTTGAGCTGTATGACATTTCCCAAGGAGTTGTTTCCTTTCCCAGTTGCATTTTTATCAGTCCGTTCCCACCAGCAGTGTTTGTGAGACAGAAGGAGAGGGTGGGGTTGACAATGTATGTCAAACTTCTCCAAGCAGGGGAAGAGAGGGGGGTGCCCTGAGATTAAAACCTTTAGCGAAGAACTCTCCAGCCCAGCCCTCTATGAACAATTTTGGGTCCTGAGATTTCGAGTGCTTCCAGACAGATGAATTCTTGTTTTACCAATGAAAAGGTTCTGTTAGATGTCCGGTGGTAAGAAAAAAGACAGAAGAGGGAGTGGGAAAATGTGGCATAGTTACAAGGGCTATCCAGTGTTGACTGGGCTTCCGGGGCAAGTTAGTAAATGAGGCAGGATGACTGCACAAGAACAACCTCAGCCCAAACACCTTGTAAGCTGAAAATTTCAGTAAGCTGGAAATGAATTTGCTTGCTGTTGCAGTTCAGACAACATAACCCACACTCAAGTGCTCACTGAGGAATTGGGTTGCTGTTGAAGTATGAGTTACTGTGTTGTCTGAACCCAGATAATCCATGGTGAATCACCCACAGTTCACAACCAAACAAAAGGCATGTGTCCTCTATGGGTTGCTTGTGAGTAACAGGGCATGTCTCTTTACCGCAGCACAATAGCCTATGGGTCAACAACAGCCCTTGGTTCAACAGCAATCCACACTCTCAGGCCTCTCAGACATTGCTTGTTTTGCTTATTGCCTGAACCCAGTCAGTGCCTGATACTTTTATTCAGCTGAGGAAATACGTAGTATCCTTGCCCCAGTGCTAATGACATTGCACTAGTTAAACCAGTAACATAACTGCAAAGTTGATTTGCAAAGCTCAGTGGTGAATTACTGGGTTTTTCCCCTGTTGCAGTAGTCACATGGTGCATGCATTGGTTTTCATCAGTGCAGTGCTGCTGCTCACACTGGGTCATGATTGCACACTGCTCAGATAGTGCCAAAAATTCTGGAAAAGAAACAGCAATCCAGTCCTCCTTATTATATCCGTGCCATAATTCAACCTGTGTTTTGAGCCACTGTGGGATCAAAAAGAAATGGTAACCCAAATGTGGATGTGGACAGTTTACTGGAAATGCTGGCCTTGCTACTCTGCACTTGGAAAATACATATTTTAGCTCCTGGAAAGTTTGAGAACTCAAACAGCTGACAGTGAATTCTTAAGCATTTATCTTTATGACTCACAGCTTGACAGAAAATCCCCCTTTTTAATGATCCTGTTCTGAAAATCCTTGCAGTGGTGTCTGTATGTGCCAACATGTTAAAATTCCAAAGACAAATAAAAAGCATGCATTTATATTGATGACAACTTAACCAATATATTATTTTGAGGATTTATTAATGCTTTAATTGACAAGCTATTAAAGATTGTCCAGTTGTGCCCAAGTTCATCAGTACTATGATTGTGTGAAATTATTACCACCTTTTAAAATGGCAGTGAAAATTGTGTGAGCCAAATAAAACTGATTTTCCTGATAAAAGGTACAGGAATGAAACAAGAACTCCTTCACTGCAAGCAGACCATAACCACAAGCTAACAGAATCAAGAAAATATTATATACAAATTACATGTGTAATATATAAATAAAATTATATGTTATATTCATAATTGCATGCTGTAGTAGTTAAGTCAAATCTTATGTCAGAAAATTGTAACACATTTAGTTTAGTTTATGTTTTTAATTTGCTTTGATTTATTGCAATCCCCATTTTTTAAAAAATGGGAAAATAGAAGAAAAATATGTTACTATGACACCAGCTTACAAATATTAATAACTTTATAGCAAAGAAAGATCCTGAATGGAGTTATGCTAGTTCCTGTTCCTATTTACTGCCCATCAGCTCCTTTCTCCCATGAGAATGTAGAGTGCTTAGAATAGTGATGCAATATTTACCATTTCTATCTTTATTTTGCCTTTATTTTCAACTGCTAAAGTGCCACTGTTCCACAGGGCTATTGACTCAAGTTTTTTCCCATTACTTAGTAATCTTACTTTTAACATAGTGATTGATTAGACCAGTTGAAATCAACAGTAATCATAATCCACATCTTGATTGCCTTTTCCGGAAATAGGTTTCAGGTGCTGACTGACTGCTTGCTGGATTAGGTTGGTTGTCAAAGCTGTCAGCTCTGTACCGGTCCCCTCTTGGGAGGGGGTGAATCGAATTCAGGACTCCTTTCTACCTCACACCCACTCCCATTTCATCACTGAAGATGTTGAAGCCCAGCTAGAGTGACCTACAAATCAATCAGTGTGGTTTCTTTATCCAAGTGATATTTAATTAAGATAGGATATTGTATACCAGAATAGTGCATGCAATAATGGCTTGGATCCCAACTTTCCTGATGTGAATGGCTCAAGGACTTTCCCACCACATGCCTAACCAGGAATGAATCCACTCCTGGGGGTTGGAGGACTCTTGGGATTAGGATGGGACATGGTGTGTGTGTGCTTGTGTTGAAAGAGAGCAGAGAGTTGGCAAATTTGTCCCCTGATTTTTGTGAGGCACAAGCAACCTAAGAGCCAGACCAATACATGGTTGAGGAAATCTTTTATTTCTTCTAATAGTGAACTCCTGTGAGCAAAAAGCCTTCAAGTCTGTCCTGGGGCCATGGAGAAACAAGAGGAAACTAGTCGTATCCTTGGGGGAACAAAAAATATTTTTAAATGAAAACCCAAATTATACTCCTTTCCTTGTATGGATGTGGTCTGCCTTCAGCTCTGATATCTACTGCTGCCACCAGGAATTCAATTCCAATCCTATTAATTAACCTTCCAGAGTATTATGCCACAGCTGTAAGGCTCCTTCATTGAACTGTGTGGTCATGAGGATGAGACTCTAGTATACCCAACAGCCTATGATGCTGAATTTAACACTAATCAAAATAAAATTTATCTGTACAATAAACAATGGTTTCAAGATGTTCAATAACTTCTTTTTTGGTAAATAAAACAATGTATAGTAATAATGTCTGACTGAGATATTTCATTCTTTGTCTTCATAAACACTCCTCACACAGAGATCCTCCTTTCCCTTCTGCACTCAGGTCTCTGTCAGCTTTTCTCTCCCACCCTTGACAATATTAGGTTTGGATGCTCCCTAGTCACTAATAAGTGTTCTAAGTATTCTACTTCCTTCCTTTCCTTTTGACTCTTAAATGCTTTTCACAGCACTACATTGGATCCTAATGAGAAGGCTGCCTCTGCTGACAACCCACAACTGCTGACAGATCACACTTGACTATAACTGCTTGACAGACCACAACTCTCTTGTAACTCTCTCTGACCACAACCCTGACAAACCGCTCTTTGCACACTTCCAGGCTCTGCTCACATACACTCAGTCACCAACTAATCATCTCACTCATGCATCCCCCTCTTACCCCACACCTGGTCTCTGAATCTTACAAACATTTAAAGGAAGACAGTTGAATAGCACTTTAAATCATTACACCAAGGAATACAAAAAGCAAACACCAAACCAGTGAAGATTACACACAATCAGTAGCCACAGGATATGAAAACAGGGCCAGAGACAGTGATGGGGCTATTGTAATTCTCTCCTTGGAGACAATGGCTGGCTGGAACCTGGTGCAAAGTTAACCCTTTTAGGAGGTGGGATTGCTGCAGTATTTTATTGATGGTGCTAGACATGGCTCCTTATTAGAACACCATTCAGGACTGAACATTCTCATCAAGGGAATGCCTCTAGTTTTAAATCCAAAAGAAAACATTCATTACTGATCAGCACATAATGAACGGGTCCCTCATTTATGTCAATTAAACAATGAGGATGGTTCTTTGTGGTCAGACAATCATGGAATGGCAGCTGTCTGGCCTTCCTGCTTTTCATGGCCATCTCAAATAGTAGCTCAAGTGTTTCATCACCTGTTTAGCCATTTAGATCATTTTTTGCCTTTGTGTGTATGCCTGTGTGCGTATACATAAAGCACATAATACTTTACCTTCACACTTCCATCAGAATAGGATCTAGTCCACACTATTTGTATCACAGTAAATCTGTTAATCTTGAGAATGCAGCTAAGGAACATAAAACCTGTTGTGCCAATTCCGGTATGTCAAGTGCCCGCAGCTGGCAAGCTACTTGATCTCAGTGACATACATTTGAAACAAAGCATCCTTTTTGCATCTCTTTCAAATTGTGGAAAGGTTTTGTTTCCGTATGAAAATAATACATGAAATATTCCTCTGAGATACACTCAGATTGTCAGCATTCTTCCTACTGATTTGTGTAAAAATCCCACAAAATGCACAGAAAGAAGCTGTTCACACAAAAATGTCAATTCTCAGGAAGTCTCTGGGTGCGTCTCTTTCTATTATTCATTCATGCAGAAAATCATATATTATGCCTACTTAATCTTGGTGGTTGCAATACCAACAGAAACTAAAGCACAAAATAAAAAATGTACAGTGAATAGATTCTTGGGATAAAGTTTCAGCAGTGGTTCATTGAAACCTCTGACATTTACCAAGAAACGACTGGTTCGGTGCTTCCTTCAGCCGATTGACATTTTGGCTTTTAAAAGACCAACTGCCTTGCTCTGTTGAAAAGCAGGTTTGCTTTGTGTTCTGACACCAGACTTCAGAAGCTGAGAATCTTCCTTGTATTCTGTGGTTTTCAGTAGATGTTGCTATGAAGAAAGAAGCCAGAGATGACTGAGGTGGAGCCCGTGGTCACGGATTTTGCAGCATCAGGAAGGGCAGGCCGCCGAAATGCCTTACCGGATATTCTGGGTTCTTCTGCTGGGGCTGGAACATCGGACCTGCCACACAAATTAGCAGAGCTTTCTGTGTCAAAAGGTGATGACTTGCAAATATTTGAGAATGAGGCATTGTGCATCCTTGATAACTAAGGGCTTTATCATTTAGCCACTTTGAGAAATTGTATTTGAAGAGCGATATATAAAAAAATTCCTAGTGACTCTTAAAATTGTATTTGAAGCCAACACTCAACATTTGTTTAATTTGTATCTTTGTGACAGCAGTAAAAAAGAACATATTACCTTTGATGGATCACATGATATAATCACTGTTTGTTCGTTGTTCTCCTGAGTGGTTCTGTAGTGTACATTGGATAATGGAAGTGATACTATTATCCAAAGCTTATTATAGAACTTCACAAATTGTTGGAATTCTGAGCAGTGCAAGATATGTAAACTCAAAATTCTGAAAATAATAAGCTCAGGCGATAATTTTATTTCTGTATCATCCAATAACCAAAGTTCTCTGGGCAGTTTACAGCAATTGATCAGCATATCTACAATGATAAAAATTCAAAAACAAATAACATATACATTCTAATATAAAACAGTTTATTTTCATTTTTATACCACCCAATAGCCAAGGCTCTCTGGACAGTTAACAAAACATGAAACAAAATCATTTCAATAAAAACTAGATCTGTTAAAACAGCTGATATGACACATCACATGCCATTAAATGCCTATGAGTAGAGGGTGTTTTTAACCTGATGCCTAAAAGGAGACAATACTGAAACCAAGCAGGCCTCAGTGAGGAAATAATTTCATAATTCGGGGGCCACAACTGAGAAGCCCCCCTCCTTGTTGCCACCTTCGAGGCCTCCCTTAGAGGTGGCAATCAGAAGATACAGAATGTAGTATTTTGATTAACTATTCAGCATAAATCTAATACGTTGTTTCTTATGTACACATTTCTTTAGATGAAGGAGCTGAAGGTGGAGGAACACCATCATCTGACACCACAATGGGAAATCAAGGAACAGAAGGAAAGGGTGTAGATTCCTAATGTTAATGAAATGTTTACTTTTTGGTGATGACGAATAGATATGATTCCCTGTGTGTACAGGACTCTGACTTATTCAATGCTTTTAGCTGGGTGACATGAATAAGGGGCTATTGAATGTTTTCAGTGGTATTACCTAATCAGTCAGATAATAAGTTTTATATCAACCTCAGACCATAGCTACAGAATGCATGTAAAGCTGCAGACTTGTTTTCAGCCTTGTAACAAAATTAGCTCGACCGTGTCCATTTGGATAACATAAATAATCCAGTGCAACAAATGCACTGCAGTTTAATTAATCGCTTGAGGCTTCACAGATAATAAATATAAATCCTCTGATCCTGAGGTGGACATACACTATAGCAGCAAAATGTGCATAGGTTTTTTCTTGGGGCATAGCAGCTTGGTGAGAGGTGCCCTGAAAGAATGGGTGTGTCTAAAAGGACAAAAGTTGCACAATGGTAGAGCACTGATGGAGTTGGAGATAGCCTCTCACCACAACACATTCTTTGTGTTGAGAGCTTGGCCTGGCCTACCATTAAGCAGAGTAAAAGTTGTTGCTCTGGCAGATGACATCTGTGAAGTGATCAACAGACCCCTGCAGCTGTTCCCTTCTTTTGGAGGACAGGAGCTGCATGTTCCCCACAGCCTATCTGCAGCGGCTGAACTAGCTTGCTTCTCTCAGGTGAGGTGGAGGATGCTGTTCCCATCACCTTTGTGGCAGTTAGATTGACTGGCTAGTCCTGTCAGCTTCTCAGGTAGCAAAGTGTCTTGGACAGGCCTTGGTTAAGAGGTTCATGATAACCCCCCACACCAGCAGGAACCCTCAATTCTAAAAATGTATCTGACTTCTAGAAGCTCCCCAAGGCCTTGGGCACAGATCCTCAATGTATATATCCTACCGCATCTTCACAAAATGTTTCAGGCATGGAGGTACAACAAGGACATCACTGGCACAATGTGGTAGGCATGAATGATTCCCATACAGTCACATGCCACAGAAAAAGCAAAATGGCAGATGCACACTTTTACATCAAGGAAGTAGTGAAGGCTGAATTCTGGGTATGTGGCCCTCCTTGAAATGGAGAAAAGATCCCCTAGATCCCCCATGACAGCTTCACATGCATTGTGTTATTGCAACAGCCCTACTTTTTGGATTTGAGAATAACATTTTTTTTGTTCATGGCTATATAAGACCCAATATATTTCTAACACAGCACAGTGTTTGATCTTGAAAGCAAATGGAATGGAAGGTCATCTGTCTATAACCTCATGAGGCCCTTTTGAAGTTGGAAAGTACAGAGAAAAAATGAAAAATGTTATTTCCTCACGCCTTCAAAATGTCAAGATGCGCTGAGATCACCTAAGACTTTAAAATCCCTTTGAGTGCATTGTGTGTCCCCACTTTCTTAAATCTGCCTTCCGTGGTCTCAACATTTTCATGCGTTCTTAACTTTTGGAGGTAAACTTGTGGTATTTGTAACTGATTTAAAATTTTAAGTTCAGCATGAAAAATTGAATTGGCTATCATTTTTTGGTCTTATAGTAGCTTTTTGCAACCAGGTACCCTCCAGATACATTGGATTACAAATCCCATAATTCTCAACTGGCATACTGTCTAGGAATATGGGGGTTGTAGTAGCTGTACCCTCAACATACCTGAACAGGTTGGAATCAGCTGGCTATTGTGTCTTTCACCAATTTTTAACAAATACAGGAAACAAGTTTTTCATTTGAGGTGGGTTTAAGTTTATCAGCTCATAACTGAATCTGATAAAATCATGATTGTTAAAGCATTTTCCCTATATATTTTGCCAGTACCAAAGGATTGATTCATGTTTTATAATACAAACTGTATTATTTAAAATAAACTATATATATTATTTGTATGATGATTCCATGACCCAGTTATGTAAGTTCTTGCATCAAGAATAATGGGTTGCATCCATACTAGAGTAGACCCACTGAAATTGATGGAATTTAATTCATGAGTGACTTATTCCATGGATTTTTAGGATCTATTCTAAGTATTGTAGAAACCTTGTGATGTAGTGGTTAGAGTGTGGGACTGGGAACCTGGGAAAAACCCGGGAACCTGGGAAATCTGGGTTCCAATCCCTATTCAGCCAGAAGCTCACTGGGTGACTTTAGGCTAGCCATAAACTCTCAGCATAACCTACCTACTTGGTGTCCTGCAGCAGCAGGGGTTTGGACCCGATGACCTTCATGGCCCCTTCCAACTCTACTATTCTATGATTCTATACCTCACAGGGTTGTTGTAAGGATGAAATGGAGAGTGCGAGCTTGTAAACCACCTTGTATTACTTGTAAGAGGAATAAAGGTGGTGTGTATATGTATTGTAATAATAATATTACAAAGCTTGGCTCCAGCTATATCTATCTGTCCAGAAAGACAGACAGACTGATTGATCTAGATAGATATCGGTGCGCAGCAACAACTGTATCAGCCAGAACTCCCTGGTTTTGTTCAGCCTCAGAAGTTGGCTTAAGGAACCACAGTTGCAAAATATGATGGACTGGGCAATTGTGCCAGAAATGACCACCCCTGTTACACATCAGGAGCATCACAAAAACCCATTACACAGTACCCAAACTGGTGAGATCTACCCCATCATTCTCTGTTCAGTGAACTTTGAACCTTGAACAGAATGTCTACACTGGCTAAGTAGTGACGGCACATGGTTGGCATGTTGTGTGTGGAGCTGGCTGAAGCTGGGGGTCAGACTAGATTGCCCAGGAGGATCCTCCTTACTCACTCTGTTTCTATGCTTGTTATGATGGGTCAGAATGTTCCTGCTTGTCACGCCAGGCCACTGGTCCTCAGCCCTGCCATACTCTGTCAGCCATCACCTGATACCAGGATTGCATCGCATCACGCAGCTCCCACTCACCGCCTGCCTTTGCTGCCCAGCCGTGCCCTACAGAGGTGCTTCCTCTTTCAGCACACAGGCGATGCATTCAGTCGCTGGCATTCACCACCACAGCTCTGACAATCCATACCAAAAAACTGCTAAGAGTGTCTTCTCTTTCATTGTTGCTGTTTTAAATAGGTGTGTGTTTGTAAGACACAAAAAGATTAAGGTCTTTGGCTGTCCTTATGGTCTTTGGCTGTCCTAGATAATACTTATCATTCAGCTGCAAAGGTCCCATTTCGTTCAAAGTACTTAGAATGAATCCCATGTAATTTAATCTGATGATGTGGAAATGAGTGACTGTTTTTATGTATTTTCTAGGGCAAACTGTTATGAACTGGAGCATATAAATATGGAGTCTTAATACTGTTGGATATAGTCTTGCATCATTATTTCCTGGTTTCCATCATTCCATAATGTCTTACTGATCCAAGAAATAGTGAAGAGCTGCAGAGAACAGCTGGATTTTATATTTTCACGAGTGAGAGATCACTCCTACTTTGCTCCGTCATCACTACAACCCTTGGACAGTCCTTGGTGCAACCAGAAACACGCTCAGGCCACGCAAGGACCTCATCTGAATGGCTTGCAGCCTTCTCCCCACTTCCATCATCAGTCTGCATGTAGCGAGCCTCCATGGATGCCACCCACTTTTTGGTTTACTGTTGCAGCACCTTGATAAAAGTACGTAATACAGATTTTTGGAATTGGCCTTGCAGCCAGTGTGGTCACTCTTGCATTGCTCAGTGAAACCAGGAGGTGGCACTATGCTTCCATTTGCTGTGAGTCAGCCTGTAATGCCAGTCTCTTTCAAGGCTTAGGCTGAAATGAATGGAGCTTGTGCTAGCTGAGGTTTTGGGCGAGCGAATCCTGCAATGGATAGGGGCCTGTTGAGACTCCTTAACTGCCACAGTGCTGGTTAATGTACGTAGCCCATTCCCATGGTGGAATAAACATGTAGAGAAATGCACTCCACTGATTTTTCTACTGTGGGGAAGCCAATCCAGGAGGAGATAACACAGGTGTCATAACACAGAATATGCATACATGTACACATGGAACAGCTCTTGGATGTCTTCTAGACAATTTTCGCAGCCCACCTTAAAGCTCTGGTCTAACTCATTTCTTTGTTGCTGAAAATTCTACTTCACAACCAATTGTTCCTTACAGTATTTTACAGAAAATAAGAATAATCTGAATAAGTTTAACACTAGAGATAAAAAGGCTCATCCATTCCAAATCTGATTTGGCATGTTTGGACATTAAAACAATGCCAGTAGTTACCAGCATGAAGCAGTGTGGGCCTGTGTTTTCACCCCAGAAGGAATCCTCATGCATTCAGTGGGGTAGGCAAGATGCAGCACTCACGGTCTTCCTTGTGTCCGCTATGTTTGGTTGCCCCCTGCCTTCAACTTCCAGGCCTCAGCAGCTGTGCAAGGTGTCCCATTTTCCTAACCATAACCCTAGCTCCTAGCTTGAGATTTCCCCTGCAGTAATTCCAGGCCATTCTATAGCACGGAAAGTGACGGAAGTGCCAAAGTGGATGTCTCTGGCTCTCCCTTTCGAACGCACATCCTCTGTGACCTTTCTAGAGCATTTGCAGATGCCAGAAGCAGGACGAGAGAGCATGGTTTTGCATCTGCATGCGCAGCCTTAACTCTCTTCTTAAATCTCACCCAAGAAGGAAGTCCCATGCATTCAGTGGGACAGGCCAGATGCTGCACTCACAGTCTTCCTCGTGTCTGCAGTGTGTCCCGTTCTCCAAAACGTAACCCTACAATGAGATTTTCCCTGCAATAATTCCAGGTCATTCTACAGAATGGAAAGCAACAGAAGTGCAAAAGTGCATGTATCAGGTTCTCCCTCCATCCCCTCTCTAGAGCATTTGGAGGTCCCGGAAGCAGGACGAGAGGGGAGGCTTTCTCATCTCGATCCTTCTCCCTAGATCTATGGTAAATCTTGCCCAATACAGATTTCCCATACATTCAGTAGAGCAGGAAAGGTGTGGCACTCACCATCTTCTTTGGATGTGCTGTTTGGCTGCCCTCTGCTGTTCATTACATGGCCTCAGGTGCTCTGCAAAGAACCTCAGTTTCCACAATCTAAACCTAGCCTGAGATTGTACCTGCAGTAATTCCAGGACATGCTAGAGCATGGAAAGTGACAGAAGTGGGAAAAATGGATGTAACTGGCTCTCCCTTGCGATTGCTCAACCTCCATGCCCATTCTTGGTCACAGAAGCTGTAGGAGGGGGCACGAATTGGCATATGCAGTCTTGGCCAGAACTCCTTGTAAATATGGCAAACTACAAAATTCCTGTTCATTCAGGGGAAAAGCCCAAATGCAGGACTCAAAACACTAACTCCAACCCATCTGTTAACTGCAATCCTAATTCAGCCATGCAATAGCCACACATCAAGCTGCATTTTCAAAATTCCTAATTTGAGCTGATTGCTTTTCATTCATGGTTTCTGGCCACTCTGAACATGTTCCAAGACTTGGTTTATGTTCCAAGACTTGGCCCTAGATTGCAAACCCCTAACCCTAACCTGGTGGTTAATAATAGCCCTAATTCGGTTGCTCAATACCCACACCTCAAATTGGTTTTAATGACTCAGAATTGAACTGATTTTCTTCACTCCTCATGGAATCAGGTCATCTGAAATATTTTCAAGCCATTCTTTGTCAAGGGGTGTCTAGTTTTCAAAAGCCTAACCCTAAGCCGGATGCTAACCGCAACACTAATTTAGCCTTGAAATACCCATACATCAAGGTGGATTTTTAAAGTCCCACTTTGAGGGGGATTTTTCTTCACTGCTCATGGTTTCTTGCAACACCAAAAGGGTTCCAAGCGTCTGTTTGTCCCTGGAAAGCCTGGTTTTCAAAACCCTAACCCTAGCCTGAATGCTAACAGTAGCCTCCTATTTCACCATACACTATGCACACCTCAAGCTGAATGCTCAAAATTCCTCATTTGACCTGATTTTTGTTTACTACTCACATAAGCAGACCACTCTGAACATGTGTGAAACTGAGGAAACCACTCTGAAACTGACCACTCTGAAACTGAGGAAAGCCTCGGTTTTTCCATGGAGAACTTAGTTTTCAAAACCCCAACCCTAACCCGGATCTTAAGTGTAACCCTAATTTCGTCTACCTCAAGGTGGATTTTCAAAACTCATTTCAGCCGGTTTTTCTTTACCTCTCAGATAATCAGGCCTCTCTGAATACTTGCCTAGAATTTGTTTTACCATGGAGAGCTTGTTTTCAAAATCCAAAACCTAACCCAGTTCTTATTTGGCCATGCAATAGCTACACCAAAAGGTGGATTTCCAAAATTCCTCATTTGAGGGGATCATTTTAACTGCTTATGGTTTCTGGCCACTCAGAAAGCACCCCAAGAATCCGTTGGTCCATGGAGAGCCTGGTTTTCAAAACAATAATCCTAAAGTGGATGCTAACCATACCCTACTGTGCCCATACATCGAGGTGAAATTTCAAAATTCCTAATTTGAGCTGCTTTCCCCACCCCCCACTACTCATGATTTCTGCCCACTTGGAAAACATTCCCAGCATCTGTTTGTCCCAGGGGAACCTACTTCTCAAAACCTGAACCCTAACCCGCATGGCAACCCTAACCCTAATTTTGCCATTGATTACACTGGTCTACAAGGAGAAAGCCTTGGAAATGAAAATGGCAAAATTTTACCAGAATTGGGTCAGTAATAAAGGAAAATTAAGTCCTGAGTATTGGCTCAAGTTTCCAAGATACAGCTTCAGGTCAAAATTGCATCAAAATAGTTCAAAATTACAAGGGGGTCATGAAATTATGCTCCTTAACTTTTCTGCAAAATGTGATATAGCAATGAGAATGTTGCCACACCATTCATTATAAATTTATCTTTTCATTGATACCAATAACATAACTTTCCATTCATTTATTGGTTTTTCATGTAACATTTTCATGCATTTTGTATGAAAAACAGACAAGCTCTAACATCAGATTAAACGACAAGGTTCTATCTTTATTCAGTATCTAAACTGAACTTTTTGGCTTTTCTCTTTTGAACTGCACTAGTATCATCTCTAGAGAGATTCCAGCAGTAATCAGCAAGCATGGACAGACTCCATTTCCCTTGGCATCTTTTCTCCATGCCTGCGATATCCTGGTGGAATCTCTCCCCATGCTCATCACTCACTGCCCCACAGTTCAAAGGGAAATGGTCTAAATGCGAGTATAAGAAGTGAATTTTCAGTGACATGTTTGCACCAAGTGCTTTATAGGACCTTGAGATCCCTTTTGCAATTGGGGGAATCATGCAAAAATAGCAGTTGCTACTATGATTGGTGGGTTCCCCCCACACCATGGGGAGTGCAAAAGGCACGGACTTTTTCTTCTTGTTTAGCCAATGATGCAGATAAGTTGCACAAGTAATGCAACAATAATGAGGGGGCCAACTCTTGTCCTGATCCTGTTTTGCATCCAAAATATAGGTGGTACGTCTTTTTTACCCCTGCCGTCATACTGCACTTTTGAGATGCAAATGTAACCTTGCCACAAATGTAGCAGAAGTTATCTGTGCTGTTTACACAGTTTTGAAGCATCTCGGCTTCTGAGGGAAAATATCACGCTCTTGTTCCTTGGAAATGTTAGGCAATGACACTTTCACACAGATGTAACTGTATGATGTGTAGTTTGACCAAGACAAATGTACCTTGCAATAAAAAACAATAAATTACAGTTAGGAAACAATCTTTAGTATCAAAGAGAAGTTAAATTTATATACTTCCATATGGTACCATTTTCATTGTTCTATGTACTTTGTCAAGAAGTTACGAGGCACCATGATGATCAGACACCTCCCTCCCTTGTAGGCTAATATACTCACCTGTGTATAAATCTTTACTGTGAAATACCTTGACAATTTTAGCCAACCAGCACCTTTATCTAATTTATCTAATCAAAATATGTAAGAATTAACAAATGTTAGCAAATATCTCAGAGGTCGATAATTTCCCAAAATTTGTAGACCACTGCTACCCATACATCAAGGTGGATTCTCAAAACTCATTTGGGCTGCTTTTTTTTCACTGCTCATAGTTTCTGGCCACTCGAAAAGTGTTCCCAGCCTCTGATTGTCCCTGGGGAGGCTAGTTTCAAGCAGCCAAACCCTAACCTGGATGCTAACCATACCCTACTATGCCCAATAAATACCCATACATCGAGGTGGATTTTCAAAATTCCTCATTTGAACTGCTTTTTCTTCACTGCTCATGGTTTCTGGCCACTTGGAAAGCATTTGAAGCATCTGTTTGTCCCTGGGGAGCCTAGCTTTCAAAACCATAACCCCAACCCGGCTCTGAACAAGAACTCTAATTTGGGCATACACTAGCCCCACATCAAGGTGGCTTTTCAAAATTCTTCATTTGAGCCGCTTTTCCTTCATTGCTTATGGTTTCTGGCCACTCCGAGAGTGTTACAAGCATCTGTGTGTACCCAGGGAACCTAGTTCTCAAAAGCCAAACCCTAACCCAGATGGTAACCCTAACCCTAATTTTGCCTTTAGTAACCCATACATCGAGGTGGATTTTCAAAGTTCCAATTTGACCTGCTTTTTACTGCTCATTGTTTCTGGCCACTCCATGAGCATTCCAAACTTCTGTTTGTCCCTGGCGAGTATAGT